TCTCTCTCTCTCTCTCTCTCTCCCTCCCTCCCAGCATAGCAGCAAGCGAGGCAACTCACCAGGGGCGATCGTGTGAATTCCGCCTCATTATGGTTATTAAAAAGACATGAATCGTCTCAACTTACGTGCCATGCCGAGAGAGCAGGGGAATCATTGACGGGACCACCGACATTCAGGGAACACAACACGCCCCACAGTTTCTTTTTTCTTCTTTCTTTTTCTTCCTTCCTTTTTTCCACCCTCATCCCGTTTGGTTTCATTTTCCTTTCGTTTCGTTTCACTCATTTTTTTTTCGTTTCGCCATCTTTTAAAAACTAAAATTTGAGCGTGGGTGTTTTTGAATCCTGAATGTTGAATTCTGCGTCTTTTCCTGTCAATGATTTATTTTCTCAACTTCTCTCACACACCCCTCCTCTCTTTTCGACATTTTTAGTCTCCCCTTCTTGAGTCTGTTGGTTTTCTGTTTCGAGGAATTTCTCAGATAACTTTTTAAAAAAAGTTGTTAGAATTGAAGAGAGGAAATCTAAATATTATGTCTTTCACTGTTTTGTTTTGTTTTGCTTTGTTTTGTTATGGTACTAGCCAATTAAACACCAATTGCAAGCCATGCTGCCATTTGCCTGATATCTATTCATTCTCGTATCACATCTCTTGAAATGCAACTGAGTACATTAATTGTTCTAAATTTTATCCCGTTGTAATGTGCTTTCTTATCAGCGTTTCTACTCTTTCTAGTGAAAATATTTTCCGTCCTTTTCTGATTGTATAACGGGTAGGAGGCACTACTAAAAATATGGCTAAAAACAACAACAAACAAACAAACAAACAAACAAAAACACGTAAACCCCCCCCCAAACAAAAGCAACTCCCAATTCCCCCACCCCCACCCAAAAAAACCCCCCAACAAACAAAAACAGAAAATAACTATCCAAAAACGAAGAGATCCAAAGTGGATTTCCTAGTTTTTCCAAACGTCAGATATAACGCTTTGAAAACTGATCAAGTTAGACATAACGTTACATCTATTCGCTGTTTAAATAATCAATTTGATAGAATTGTTTCTGATGCGTCAGCTAATTAAAAAAACAACCCATGTATCAGTATGAAGATTCTTCTAATTATAGTCGAAAATGCCGTAAAACTCCAATGAATGAATCAATCAAGCCAATTATGTGATTCTTTTATATCGACTCCCCGTTGACACCGATATATAACATAAGTTGACTTGTCGGGCCACAAAGTGACTTTTTGTACATTACGGAAATCATAACGTTATACAAATATGGTCCAAAGAACTTGAAGAATCAAAACGTTCCCCCAAAGCAAACAATTTGTCTCGAAGCGATGGAGGTGGAGGGTCCTTATCGTCTAGCCATGCAATGCTTCGTATATGTACAGGGCGTTATATAGTCCAGCAGTTATATAAGAACAAGCTATCTCTCTCTCTGCTCCCCTCCTTGACTCCCGTTCCATCTGCCCCTTCTCTCACTTTTTCTCTTTTGCTCTCTCTCTCTCTTTCTCTCTCTCTCTCTTTTTTAAAAAATCTCTCTCTCTCTCTAACAGTCAGTGTTTTCTATTACTGTGTGTGTGTGTGTGTGTGTATTTGTGTGTGTGTGTGTGTGTGTGAGAGAGAGAGAGAGAGAAAAAAAAAAAAGAGAGAGAGAGAGAGAGAGAGAGAAAGAGAGAGTCTGTGTGTGGGTGTGTGTTTGTCTGCATATGTATGTGCCTACCCCTAGCTATGTGGCCTCCGTCTGTCTGTCTGTCTGTTAAAGTCATAGTTTTGGATTACATAGCATTGCCAATAGTATCTGGTCATACTTTAAAGTAAAGTCACATTTCAACACAGAAACAATGAAAGATGAACCCCCTGCACTCAAAGTTTGACTTCTAATATTTTAACAAAGGACGCTGAATTAATCAAATACTGTAAATCTCATTGTCTGAACTCTGTCATTAACTTCAACTACATTTGATAAAGATTTGAACAACGTGAAACATTAAGAGAAAACACAGCAGCACTTTGTTTTTGTGGGGTCTAGAAGTTAATCTATGTTGACGTCCAAACCCGTAGGTTTCCAAAACAACACAGGCGTAATTACCGTCTGGGATCTCAAATTTCAGAAAAATAATTTTCAACAACTTTCTTTATGGGGTATGAATGAAAAAGGAAAGGGGCGTTTTGGGGAAAAAAGGGGAATATTACTGGGGAAAAAGGGGGGCGGGGCGGGGTCACAAGCTGTCACACAGAAATATAATAATTCAAAAACGTAACGCTTTCATCAATTTTTCACTTGAGGAATTTCACGAGAGACGTAAATAAATATGTATAGGAAATGCTTACTCATCATCATTCACCCCTTTCTGTTTTAACACTTTTCCTTTCACGTGGGCGTACAGAAAGCTCAGTAGATGCGATGCTGGACTACAGTGGAAATGGCACAAGTTTGAATCTGAGTACGATGCTCTTGGGCAGACTATCAGAGATGGACTTTTAATTCGAAGATTCCACCTTTTCAGACCCATATCATTCATTAGCTTCATGTGCAGCAAACTCACTGCTCTCATAGGAAACATGCGTCAGAGTACAACGCACATGTATACATAATATAATACATGTACTTGAAAACATGCATCCTCCCTTACATCCTTAGCCAA